GTTTCTCCACCGAGTGTGTGCATTCTCTCATTTTATCTCCACGTCTTTTCGGTTCTCTCCGTCTCCGTATGATTGATGAGTTGTGGTCAGACCTGGATCCCTGCCACAACCCGGGCCTGATCAGGCATGTTCAGGTCATAACAATGCCATCAATATGTGCCTGACGGCTGCGTGTGTGTGTGTGTGTGTGTGTGTGTGTGTGTGTGTGTGTGTGTGTGTGTGTGTCTGTGTGTGTGTGTGTGTGTGTGTGTGCGTGTGCTTGTAATGAAGGATAAAGTTGAGAGATTCCAGAGAGAGACACTTATTTGGAATTTCCGTTTCCTGCTCCTCTGATGGGATTAAAGCAGCACTGGTTGGACGGAGCACCACCACCATCAGACAGGAATCACATTCATTAGCCTCTTTTCATGAGTGATCTACAGTATGTCACCGTTTAACTAATGAACTCCTTTCTTGTGGGCTCTCTATACCCGGTTTCCATGTCTTTATGCCATCTCAGGTTTCTGAGATTGACCAAAAAAATCTGCCTGATATTTGATGAGCAGCACGTGACGAAGGGCATTAGGAGGCCTGCATTATTTATGAATGGCGAGGGATGCATTAAATCATTAAATATGCATGCGTGCATTACACGAGAAAGAACATGTCCCATTGCATGTCGTATTGATTCTGGTGTGAGTTACTATTCTCTCAGATGGGCTTTTTTCTCCCTTTTTTGAAAAACATTAGGAGATCGAGAGCCAAATGACTAAAGAGTCGTATTGACAGACTTGCTCCCTGGACGCCTGGTTGCAGCTGAGAAGTTGCAGAGTGTAAACTTACTTGCTTAGGAGAGATCAGAAGCGGTGTGTGCACATGCAGCAGATTTTGTGTGGGAGCCTGGAGTGTGAAATAACTTAAGGGGGAAACTTGTGCCAGCTACCGCCGGCAAAAAGAAATCAAACCAGTGTTCTTAAATTCTTTCCCTCATCTGGTCAGCCAGATCGCTTTACCTCTCCAACCTTATTTTTCCATTTGTGGCTTCACAGGCTGTGCTGGCCTTGTCAAAACAGAGAACTGTGTCATGCAGTCGGAGATAATGGGCAACCTGTTGGTGGTCGAGTGAAGAAACACCTCAATGAACATTTCAACCCGGGAAAGGACCCTCTCATCTCTGCAACAGTGCATTTACTCAAGTTTAACACCATACGTGGGATATTTACTTTGTCCAGAGTCTGATGGATTAAAACAAACAGCTATGATGCTCCTGTTCTGAGATGCAGAAGCTTGCTGCAGAGATGGGCTGAAAACAGCAGGATTACCCATTATTATTAATGATATGCACATACCTTGCTTCTGATTGGCTAACAGAACGCGATCAGTCATGTTCCAAAGTCACTATCATCAAGACAATCTCTGCTCTCTGTTCTTGCAGCATCAAAACATTTAAAAAGTCTTCCTGTGAGCAGGCGTGAGCCAACATGGGCGAGGCCATGAATGCTGATTCGCAGTGTGACATAGATGTGTGAAGATTTCAAAATCTCAGCTTTCACCGTTGATTTTCTATCAGAAGCTAATGCAGGAGATAGATGTAGAAGACAGTTTTCATGTTCAGCCTGCATGAAAAACTCATAAATAATAACACAAGATGTATTTTTTTTTCAGTGAACCACACCTTTAAACCTTTTCCATTTTAAAACTTGAACACTAGAGGGGAAAGGCTTCCTTGGAAGTTCACTCCTCCATTAGAATTCATGCTCTCGGATAAAAATGTTAAATCAATCCCGAGTCACCACAAACTGCTGGCAGCTGTTGCTTTCCCAGGTGAGTTGTTTCAGCTATGAAGATGTGATCCATCATGTTTCAGAGGGAGAAAAATCCGGAGAGAACAATGTGGAGCGCTAAGAATGTGCGTCACACTAACAGGCTGTAAATTTGAAGACTTGCTGCTGCTACTGTCCTCTTTAAACCCCAATTAGTAATTTATGGCATACGTTTTAGTTCATCTAAGCTACGATTTATGTTTTTTAAGTTTTGATGTATAAACTGTGCAGTAATTTGGGAAACCATGGTAACCACACAGCCAGTTTAGAGATTAGGCCACAGACAAACAGTCGCTGTGCAGCAATTATAGAACTGAAAAGTTCTGAAGTGTAAACAGCAGGAGGGTCTGAGGGTCACCGGTGAAATGTGTGTGTTTGCATTGTTTTATGCAGGAGATGCAAAAGCTTAAAAGATCCTTCATTTCCAGTTGGGGAGGGAAAAGTCTGAGTCTGCGGGCGTGCACGCTGCAGCCGTCACAGACTCACACGCTGTTACAAAACAGAAATTAAAACTGCAATTATGTAAAAATGTTTAAAAAAATCTAATTTCAGACATAAAAGACCAACTTGTTGTCATGTTTGAATTTTGATGATGTTTCTGAGATGTAAAGCCTAGAAGAGGACTGGGCTCTCACTCGGTTTTGCTCACTTTGCCCACATCTTCTGATGTGTTGCTAATGAACGCCACAGCACACCCTTCATTGGGCCTTTCCAACAGAAGGAAAAGGGAAGCAGCTTTCACTCGTTAGTATTCTGGGATGCCAAAACAAAATGACAGATAGAATAAAGCTGCCATCACATACAGTATCTGAGTGAGGGGAAGGTTTTAATACATCCACGGTGTGATGCAGATCTGTGGAGGCGTCTCGGGACCGGGCCAGGAATCCAGAGGCACGTCTACCTGCCCTGGGGCACAGACAGCGAGGGGGGAGGGCAGTTAGTGAAGCCACAGGCACATAATGTCTCCTATTGCCCTGACTTTATTTTCTCTCCTGCCATCAGCCTCTTCTCTCGCCCACTCTGTCTCTCCTCACATCATCATCAACAGGAGAGCCGTGCCCACAAACACTGATGTGTTTGTCAGAGAAAATGCCCACTCACTTTAATAGCATTTCATGCCATCTCTGCTTTCACCAAGGACTTGGCGTTTGTTCCTGGGTCGCACAAGAGCAGGCTGTAATTTCAGACAAACACAATGGAAATGCCGAGTGCGGCCAATCGGATTTAATCAAGTGTGAAGAAATGTAATTTTGGAGGACACCGGGTCAGAGCCGGTTGATACGGCTATTAGCTGCTATGCAAAAAGGCGTGTCCACATTCCCAAAACATGAATTTATGAAGCCTGTTTGTGATTTCAATCTGACTAATGTATCAGAACAAACCCATCTGTGCATCACCGACCCCCCGAGGTGAGAGTTTGGGGGTGAAGGAGTTGGGTGAGAGCGTGGGCGGCCGGTTGGAGCTCCCAACATGTGCTTAGGGAGGCTGTCGAGTTGGGAAATGAAGCAACGATCATAAATCCTCAAGCACACACACACACACACACACACACAAAAGATCACATCAGACCAAGTTCCATGGGAAAAATTTTTATTTATCAATATGCTGTAGTTTCCAAACTGGTGGAACGTTGTTTCCGTAGTAGCTGGTGCCAACAGGTTACGCTGAGAAGCGGCGAATAAGTGAACAAAAGAAATAAAAGAGCCAAAAACTTGACAGCTGTAATTCAAACAAAGGGAAATCAATTCTACAGGATTTGCTTACACATGCACACTGAGAAAAATATAATACTGTGATGTTGAACAATAGCAGAAATCAAAGTGAGGCTCATACTATGGGCGACCAACATCCTTGTGCTAAATTAGGAAGGGAGGGATGACAAAAGAGAGGGGGTGGAGGGAGAGGAGAAGAGAGAGCATCTTTAAAACAAAGACCGCCTGGGAGATAATGAGTGGTGTAAACCAGATGATTTATTGGAGAGCACGTACGGTCACACTTTCATCCCTGGCCTCTTTATTTCTGCTCCTCTTCCTCTCCCCATCTGGCTCCGTGGACTTTATTAAAAACCGAGATACAAATCTTTTTTCGGGACCAGGAGATCTGGAGAAACAGTTTTCATATGCAGCTACGTGCTGCCTCCCAGCAGCTTCAGTGACCTATCGTCTCAAAGCCGCTTGCTGACAAACGCTTCAGTCCTGCAACTAAAACTCCTGCTGATTGGAAATGTTATGAGAAAAAAGGCTAGATTCAGTTGTTGAAATCACGCGTGGTAATAAAGAACGTTTGACAATACTGGATGCTGCAAAAATGCAAGCTCGTGACTGTAATATTAGGTCTAAAGGAAATAAAATGTCGCTGAGACAAAAAAAATGCAAGGATTCATACAAAACACACTTAAAAAGACGGCTATTTACAAACATCCTCCATTACAAAAGTCTAATCTTAAATTTTTCTTATGAGCAGTGTTCAGGTGAAATTACAACTTAAATCAGGCTCTATCCATATATTTACATTTCTGCACACACTTCTTTCTTTCCTTTTTACTTTTATTTATTAATTTTCCTCCTCAAAACTTGAACAACATTAAGTGGTCACTAGGATGAATGAACAGGAGATATGGTTGGTGGTAGTTTGGTAATGACTCCCTAAGCTGGTGTAGTTGAACAGACGCGCGGCGATCCGAAACTAAAATGTATGCTCTAGATGTGTTTCACCGAGGGCTGCACGCTGAGTTAAAACGCAGCACCACAAAAACACAAGCAGCTGTTTAGGTTGTTAGCTCCGAGGTTAACGACACCGGAGAGTTTTCCCGGAGTCTCGGAGCTGGGGGGGCTGCCTTTTAACTCAGCGGTGCCTGTCCGAGGAGGACGTTAGTGCTGTTTGTGGCGGCAGATGATCGGTGCCTCTGTCGGTGGATAAACAGGAACAGCCAGTCTGACGTTTGACAGGAGTTAAACCTGGACCCGTCAGTCTCTGTGCGTGTGTGTGTGTGAATGTGTGTGTGTGTGTGCATGCTCATGTTGACGAATGGCTGTCCCTCTATCTGCTCCTGTCTCCTCTCACACACATCATTAGCTGCAGAGCACCTAGTGTGTAGAGCTGCACTCGGATCCACAGAGTGGCCAAACTGCAAGTATAAGCACAAATAAGCACTCACACCCATAAGCAGACACCCCCCACCCCACCCCCCCACCCCCCCGGGGCCTCCGACACATCACCGCCTCCAGCTGCAGCGAATCCTGACTCGGAGCTGCTGCCCTGGGCCGTGTGATAGGCTGCGGTGTCCTCGCTCACCAGCACCTCGGCTGTGGAATATTCTGCACAGCATTTTTATTCACAGCACAGGATGGGATGAAAATCATGAAAGTGAACGCCGAACCTCCTCCCACACCCCGCCTCACCCTTCACCTCTCCCTACACTCTCTCGCCTCTCAGGTTAAAGCCCAGTCACAGGAACGTTTTCTCCCTTCATCCCCCCGGCTGGTGAGTGTGGGCATGAAGATGGCACATAGATTAGTCACACGCTGGCAGCACCACGGACTGAGCGCTTCACTGACTCATCTACAGACGGCAGCCAATTGGCGTCTGACAATACTGTATCCTAAGGTTCACCAGCTTCCCTGTCCAACTCGTATACGGGCATGCACCAGCCAATCGGTGCAAGACACCCAACCCACGCCCACCTAAGGCACCAAACGTACTGTTTGATGCTTAAGCTGTGGCACCAGTGGATAAAACATTCACATACCAACCTGTCTGCTGTCTTATGAAAAAAAACACCCTGAAAACCGATCCGACAATAAGATCTCCAGCCAACTGGAGGAGGGTTTGTTAGATCTTGTCTGTTATCAGCAGATCTGTCTGTCTCACTTCTGTTTTGTGTTTGCTTTAATTTAGAATACAGTATCATAATGTTCCACCACAAAGCCAATAATGTCCCCCCCCCCCAACAAAACAGGTCTGGACATGTCCAAACACACGGCGAGGACACACCCTGAATTATACACAAGCAGGTCATAAATACCACAATGATGGTGAAACTCATATCGCAGCCATGGAGGAGGGAGGGTCTTCTCTCTCTCTCACCCACCTATACACACACACTCACACACACACACACACACCTACACACACTCACACACACACACACACACACACACTCACACACACCTTGATGCCTACAGTCCAGGTCAAAGTACGTTTTAAGGAAATAAGTGAGAGAGATGAATGTCATGAGCAGCGAGGAGGTGCGGTGATAATGGGTTCAGCTCTGTACATTGTGCACTTGTAGGAAAAGTCTAACAAAAGTCAACTGCTTTGTGAACTGATTACGGGTTCAAGGAAATCCTCCATCAAAAATAGTAAGTAAGGCAAACATCCGAGGTGCGAAGGGAGAGGAGCGCATCATTTCACACACCGTGTAAGATACCTGAGCTATCTGGAGAGTTTCCTGGCCCCAGCACGGAGCCCTCCACCCGACCGTCACACCCATGCACACGTACATTTTCCTGCTCGCACACAACCTGCAGGCTGCGCAGCGCGGCGTAGCCCTCGTGCTCCTAGAGAGCTAGGATGGTGTGTTTAATTGGGTGTAGCACAGACCGTACTACAGGGAGCTAAGATAAGTTATATCCTGTCCGTTAACGGGGACAGCGAACCATGACGCTGGAGTTCCATCTGCTGGTTGGTTGCTTCGGCTCCGCCCCCTTTTATGTCGGAACACAACGGGGAGAGAGGGTGGGGAGTGAGGGCTGGGGGGAGGAAGGGGGGTGGGGAGTGTCAGACAACCCAAACAAACCGGATAAACCTCTCTCATCAGTCAGCTCCCATCCCCCGCTGGTTACTGGTCAGTGCATGTTTCTCCAGATTTGTGCAGCAGGTGGTAGAAATAACAGGGCCGCGGCGTCCCCCTAATGCAAAGGAAAGAGTTCTTCCTAAGATCGTTGAATCGGGCGCTCCTTGTTTGTCCCTCTCCTGGCCGAGCCGCTGGTGGTGCGAGGCGTGTCAGACCTTGTAGTAGATGTTGGCGGGGCTCTGCGGAGGCATCTCCTGGACGATGTAGACTGGATGGCCATAGTCGCCGCTCACCTTCTCGTAGTGAGGGCAGTAGTTGTTCTCTGTCCGCAGCGGAATGATGATGTCACTGGGCTCCGTTCCGGCTGTGCCCCCCGGCAGCTTGGGATTGGACAGCGTGCTGAGCGATAGTGCCGATGGGCGGGCCTGTGAGTGGGTGTTTTTCCTGGCACGCTTGCGCATCTTGATGAGGAGGATGACGAGAAGCAGGATGAGGATGAGGAAGATGATGCAGCCGGCTCCGATGGCGGAGAACACAGCCACCTTGGAGCTGAGGAAGCTGTCGGGGTTTGATGGGGTCTCTGTCTGACCTTGATTCATGGTACCTAGAACGAGAAGCAGAAGGGAAGAGGGCTTAAGGACAGGAAGGTCAGACAAGCCACGCTATCGTAATTCAGACTTCCGCTCAAAGGAGGAAACATCTTTGGAAAATGTTGAAAACTGCTGAAGTTTTCTTCTCCGTTTTTCTAAAGGTGAAACATGTCTGATAAATACTGTTTTTGCTTTTGTTTATGCATCCAGTGAATATTTTCGGATGTACAACTACATCTCACGTTTCAAGATGGCTGCCACGACTGGCTGACTTTAGAAAACAGAAAAATGGTGTCATCTGCTACGAGAGTTTCAGGATAACTTTACCGAACCTTCACGACTGGCGCATGTCTCCATTTCACCGGGCCAGCCTGAAAGGTCCACCTTCCTGGCACGTTTCACGTCATCTGACTTGTGGGCGGGTCTTGCGGTTAACTCGGACTGATTGGTTGTAACTCAGCGGGAAGTGATACCAGAAGACGTTGCTTAAAAACTACGTAGCTGTTTCTAAACTCCAAATGCTGAAAATGAAACAGGAATTCCTCCATAATGTGGTAATTTACTCCAGTTTGGCACCATGAAAAGCGGCGTTTCTTATGTTCTTTGAACACCGCTTTTTACACCACTCACCCTGTCCCACGAACGGCGTGGCACAAAGGCGTCCTCATCTTCTAATAAACTGTGCTTCTTTGCAGAAAAATGTACCTTTACGATTCAGAGTCAACCCAATTAATGGTGTCCAACACAGCTCATCAACAGCAGCAAACAAAATGTATTTGGGTGAGTCAGTATTACAGAAAATGAGCTGAAATCAGATGACGTCGTGGTTTAGTGTGAGTCCCAACACAAACTCAGAGTCTCAACAGATTGCATAAGATCCCGTGTGGGGTGGTGTGTAATGGTATTTTCAGGCTTTGATCAAAGTGGTTAGTTTAAAACCAATGCTAGACGTTGCGTTTGCATCAAGCTGATTTATTTTAAAAACGAGAGCATGAGTGGAAGATTTAGGAATAAAAAAATCCAAATGTTCAGCCTGTTCTCCCTCCTTCAACAACACATCATCGGTTACTGTGTCGTTATTCTCATCATGTGTCTCTTTAGTTAAGATATCAAGGGGACGGCACTCTCCCTCTCTGCCTAACAGCAGAGGAGGGTCCAAGGAAAAATTAATAACGTCCGCAGGGTTCTTGTTTATTAGGAAAATGACATAAAGCACCCCTCCCCCACAGAGTAATTTTCTCTTAAGAGGCTGCAGAACATTAACGGTACGCCCGAGCTGGTGCGCGAGGACTTTACTAAATCAGCTGGGAGCTCATCCCACTTTCTTGTTTGCTCAACATGACTAACAGCCCCGATGATGCAGCCTAAACCAATCAGCGCCGTCGAAATAGCCTCTTAATGAACGCTGTAGTCAACGTGACAGAGCACCGATGGGTGGAGAAGCTGGAGAACATGTCGGGGCTGCGTTTGCGTGGCAGAGGCCAAGTGAGAGATGGAGGACGTGGGAGGGGTGGGGTGGGGGGGTAAATGTGGAGGGCATATCCGAACATCTGATTTTATTTTATCCTTTTGTTTGATGGGTTCAGGATGGGATGGGAAAGAGAATGGCTGGCTCCTTCGGTGACTGAAATCCGAGAAGAACCAAATCTGTTTTCCATGTATGCGTGCAGCTGCTGCCAAAGAACAGCACCCCCCCCCCCCCCCCCCTTCTGCCATCACTCTTTTACTGTCCATGACCCCTCCTAACCCCCCCCCCCATCTACCTCCACAGGCACACAAAAGCCTCATACTTCAAGACCCTGCCAACCCCACTAATGACCGTGTCTCCGCAACACTGCTGCACACTCTTTTTGCACTTAACCATTTATTGATAAGGGGATAACTGCACCTCCAGCCTTATCACGACCCAACGACACGACTGAAAGCTACCAATTCTAGGCTTTATCGTGAAATCAGAGGCCAAAGGAATTCTGTGCGTTTTGGGCTCTGGAGGGAGCCGGAGAAAGAGCGACTGTCAGAAATCTCATTCCTGAAATATCAGCTCCTCAAACCACAGCAGCTCGCCCTTCATTCCACCCTCACTTGACATAATAACTGATCTAACAGTGGCAGGCTGGTTAAAGAGAGAGAAAAAACTGGTGTACGGAGAAGTGACATTAGAAAATCTTTTTATAGAGCAACTATTGTCAAATAAGCAATTATGGAGAAAGTGTGGCTTATCACACTGGGACAGGCAGAACTGTGTGAACTTGGAGGAAGTTGTGGAGTAAGTCAAAAAGTTACTGCAGAGGAGTGGTCCTACCGGGAAAAAAGAAGCGAAAGCCTCGTGGGAGCCTCGAACGCCTCCTTCAATTATCTCTCCTTATAATCTTGATTCATCTGCAGCTCCCTAATGAGACCTAAGTAGACGTGCGATAAAGCAGCCTGTCTCTGTCTGGAGCCGAGCGCCCTGTGTGACTCAGGGTGAGCTGCGTATGTTTAGGGTGGGGTTTTACATTGTTTCATCCAAACCTTCATTTTAGAGGCTTTCAGTCCGTTTTGCTGTAAAACGCTGGTTTTACAAGTACTTCAACATGTTTTTGAGCACCCTGCAATAAAAGAGGATGAACACCAGCAAGATGTAAAAGCCATATGTTTGAGTGGCTAAACTATTATTTTCTTTTTTCCCCTTCTCTCTTTTCAGGCTAAGAGTGATTAATTTTTAGTGTGGCCCTCGAGGCTGTAAGTATTCATTATTCTGCAACTAAAAGCTGTTTTAGTACAATATTTGCACTCTAGAAAGTGTCATATAATTACCTTCAAAGCTGCAGTTT